AGAATTCATGCAAAATAAAACAAAATGACAACAACAAAAAAATCCAAATTCCAGAGACAGTAATGGTCAGCAACAGAGTATTTATATCAGACTACTGTAGGGCTTTACATACTTTGTTTCATTTTTTTTTCTAGCTATCCCATGAAATATTAATATTATTACTTCTATCTTAACAATAAAGAAATTGAGACTTAGATCAAGTATCCTTTGCTCAGAGTGTGAGGGTTACCTTGTGGCACAGCCAGGACTGCAGCTCTGGCCTATGGTTTCTCGTACATTCTTCTTACGTTATATATCCATGGCAACCAGAAAGCGCAAAAACTCAGCTCAAACTCACTGCTGGCTAACATACAGAGAAATGAGTAGCAATCACTGAAGAGGCTTCCAAATTAATTCTTAAAGAGACCCTGGCTCACTTCCTCTTTCTGTGCTGCTCATTAATAAAAACAGCAAAGCACTGCCCAAATACTCATTCACTACTATATGGAATGAATGCTTGTCCAGTGCTTTGCCATTTATTAAAGTGCTTTTAAATGCATACCTCACTTAATCCCCAGGAGCCTAGTGGTACTGCTATCACTATCTGACAGATAATGATTCAAGAGGTTAGTGGATTTGTTTAAGACCCAAGCAATTAGCAGAGCCTGGTCTCCAGTGCTGGTCTCCCGATGCCAAGTCTGTATTCTCCGTCTCCTTCACCAGGGTTCCCAACCCCACCAGTCACTTTAAAACAACTGTTTATTTGAAGCAAATTCTTTCTTAATGCTACAGGAACTCTATTTTGCCTGACAGCTCCCAGGTACCCACATCTATGTTTTCATGGGTATCTTTCTTCTATAAAGTCAGCAAGAGGACAAGAATAAATATATCAAGTATTACACTCAGAACTGGAATGTAAATGGACACACACATAAGTCTTGGCTCTAATTTTAGAAAGAAGCAGCCAAAAAGTCCCACACAGCCCAGTGAGCATCTGGCCCCGTGGGAGGCTGCCTGAACTGCTTTAAACCCCAATTAACCCAGGAAGAGAAGACAGCCATGCTGGAATCTTGATAGGCATTTTGTTTTCAGGGGCACCAGCTGGGTAAGGAACAGAATGATTTGCCATCATGCTCTTCCACAAAAATGCTGAAGTCCAGAGCCAAAAACAAAAACTAAAAAATGGTTAAATGTCCCTGGGAAAGTAAGTGGGTCTTTCTGCAAGATAGAAACCCTGAAAGGATCCTCCCACTCTGTGCCCTTGGAGTTACACTGTCACTTTCCTGACTCTCATCTGGAGCCAGGGAAGGAGATGGCAGGTGAATGGTGACCATGACCTTCCTTGACCGCACACCTGACTTGCCGTCAAGGCCACCTAAGGCTTCAAGGGCTGGTCATGCCATTCCTGGGCTTCCTGGCCCTCTACAGGTGCACAGACCCTTGCTCGCAATTCAATAGGCCTTTCGTTGTGGTTTCATAGGACCACAAGAGTGGAAGTCCCATTACAGCAAAGTGAACTTTGTTTACTGCAATATAGACAGTCTAAATTGATGCGTGGCATACAATAAGCCTCGAGGAGTATTTGCTGACTAAATGGACTGCGGCTCTGCTGTTGGCATGGGTTCTCCTAGACCCCTGTGAAGCAGTGTAAAGCAGCCGGCAGCCCACTCACTTGCTCACATTTCCTTTTTAAAGATGGACTCTGCTGCAGTTCAAGTTCCCTGAGATCCAAGGCGGGGTCTTTTAGGTCTTCTTGTACCATCTTCCCACTTTAGGCCACCGTCTCCATTAGCTGTGCCTCCCACGGGCACCATCTGCCCACTCCCACTCTGTAACACTTGCCCTCAGCTTTTTCAGTGTAATACATCACATGCCATGCACTTCATCCACGTCACCACTGGCAGTGCCAACTGAATATCTGTTTCTGTGCCTGGCACTGTGATAGACTCTGCCTTCCAAAATCTCAGGTCTTATGAGGGAGGCAGATATGCGAACAATTAGAATACAATGTAAAAAGTACTATAATAGCAGTACCATGGCCAAAGAAACAAACTGACAACTTTCTGGCCTTACTATGACAACTGGAAAAAAAAAAAAAAAGATATCAACTGTGCACAACAAGAAAGCATAGGAAAACAAAACATGTATACTATCAGTGTAAACTGATATGTATGAAGCACATAGTTGTCATGTGAAGACTGCCTTGGGTGTGACAGTTGAAACTTACTTTTGTGGTAGACTTCTATTGGCATTTTCATGGTAGTTCATATAGGAATTTCTTTCTTTTTTTTTGGCGAGCTCAGCCCACCCTAGGGGGTTGGGCTGGTGCAGCAAATGGTGCCAGGGATCCAACCTCGGTCCCTATGTTTGCCCAAGCAGGCACTTTAGTGTGCTGAGCTATCTCACCAGCCCTAGGAATTTATTTCTGATGCTATCTTTTATGTTTTGTAAGCATGTACACAACTGATGTGGAAAATGTTGTTTTTTGTTTTTTAATTTATGTATTTGGTACAGGGTCTCACTGTGCAGCTCAAGCTCACAGTGATCCTCCTGTTTTCAGCCTCCCTAGACCTGGGATTACAGGTGTGCGCCACCACACCCGGACTTGGTTGCCTGGCTCAGTGCACCTGGGGGCAGTCCAGTGCTGCATGTGGTACTGGGGATGGAAACTAGGTCTCTGTGTTTGCCTAAGCAGGTACTTAGTCCACTGAGCTATCTCACCGGCCCTGAAAATGTTGATTTCTATTCTAAATACACAATAAATATTAAGAATATAATACTTTATTTCATTGATAATTCATATGCCTGTTAACTATACACTGTGTAATATAGTAAGAACCTCCTGACAAAACAGCAAGACCACTGAGATGTCAAGTGTGGTCCTATAAAAAGGCCAGAAAAGCAAAGCACATGTGCTAGCAGAATAAGTGATGCATGTGTATGGAACACGCTTTCTCACATATGCAAACTGCCTTAGGTGTAATAATTGAAGTAAAGATTTTTTTTTTTTTTTTGTAAAGTGCTGATATTTGCATTGTCATTCATATAAAAATTTATTTGTGAGCTGGGGATATAGCTCAGTAGTCTAAGTGCATGCCTGGCAAGTGCAAGGACCCACATTCATGGTACCACATGCCTTGCTGCCCCGGAACCTGTGCTAGCCGCTGAAACCGGGTACGGTGGCACATGCCAGTAATCCCAGCACTGGGAAGGCTGAGATAGGAGGATCACTGTAACTCTGAGCTGCATAGCAAAACCCTGTACCAAACAAACAAACAAACAAACAAACAAACAAATAAAATAAATAAGTGATTTTAAACAATTTTTTAAGTTGTATCAATTTTTCTTTTTTAGACTTAGTACACTAAAAAAAATGTGAAAATTTTGATGCTTTTTAATAAAAATTCAATATTAAAAATTAAATAATTTAATTTTGTGATATTTTCCTGTTAAATACTCATTATTTAATATAATAAAATTCATAAAATTAAAATTAATCATTTATCAACAAAAATATTCTAAAGAATTTACAAGAGTCTGACAGACCCATGTTTCTGCACCTTGGTGACAAAATTAGTGTTGTACTCCTTAATTACAGATTCTCCATACCCACACTTGTACAAATAGAGAGGATGGAAAGGCCCTACAAAGAGCTTAAGGAAATAGTGAACTTATTTCCTATGAGCCTGAAAGATATTCCTACATATTTGATATGTGAGTACAGATTGTCTGTGTCATGAACCCAGCATATTTTTTGTTCACGCACCTGCCTGGCCCCTTATACTCTCAGCATGGCCCCCTCCTCTGGTGCTAGTGTATTAGCCACAAGGGAGCCAAACCACCCAGGCTAGCGTTCCCCTATCTGGGGACTTGCTGTCAGGCGGGCCAAAAACATAGGAAGTCAGCTAGCATGTAATGTGGTCTACCCTGCAGCATGCATCATTGAGCTGAGGAGAAGCCTTAAGGAGCTGTTAAGAAAGAGCCAGGGGACAGGGCAGGGTGCCACACTACGGGCCAGCCCTCTACCAGGAGCTTCGCCCACCCAGTCCTTTTCACTTTTAATTTGTAGATAAGAGTTTTGCTTAGTTGCCTACGCTGTGCTCAAACTTGCAAACTTCCTGCTTCAGTCTCTCCAACATCGGGGATCACAGCACGCAACACTGCCCAGCTGAGCCTGACACTGGAAAGGCCAAATTTTTTCCCTAATAGCCTCGAGAAGATAAAAAGAGGTTTTGAGTAAACTGCCAAAAATAGTGCCCTGGCATTAAAAAAGCACCGCTCATCAGGGTTACCCATCCTCCACAAAGAAGCGAAATAATTTCCAATACTAACAGGCTACCCAGAAAAATTTCCAGGGAAATAAGGCCAGCAAAATGATCCATTCCTGCCTGAAATCTGCAGAAAGTGTGGGTCACCGCTGAGAGCAAATGTCCAACCTTATGTTCCCTGGCATTTATTTGGCAGAAATAAAAATCTGGATTTCTATTGCACTTTCAAACGTTCTAGGTCCTTGTTTCAACAAACATAAAAAGTTCTGCCATAAGAATACGAAGAGGACTGGCCAAATAGCTCAGTGGATTAAGGCACCTGCAAGCAGTCGCAGGGGCCAGGGGTTCAATTCCCTGGCCTGCTGTGCCAGCCACCCCCCCCCCAAGGGGCGCTGAGACAGCAATTAGACTGGGTGTAGAGGCATGTGCCTGTAATCCCAGCACTTGGGAGGCTGTAAACGGGAGAATCACTATGAGTCTGATCTAGTAGTGCGACCTTGAACACCCTGTAGATCCTTCCCTAAAACACAAAATAAATAAATAAATAAGAATATGAAGAAATGCACAGAAACCAGTCTGGCCTCAAAGAAAATAATGTTTCTCTGTCATCTGTTGCTAATAAGATCCAGTAAGAGAATTCCCCTATCAAGATATAAGAACTCAAAAGAACACACGTGGAATACCAAGGCCTTGCTCATTAAGGAGTCACTAACTCTTAAGGAACATGTCTGTGCATTTTCTTTTAACACTTACCTCTCCAGCCAGAGTCAACGAAGAACTCTTGCTACTAGAGTGATTGTCAGCCCGAGTGGACTCCAATTGAGCTCGGCGACCCATCTTGGCCCCCTGTAAGGACAGATAAAGGATATTCACTTAAGCTAGTATGTGGACAAAGCCTATGCAAGCCACTATGAGGTGATCAAGGATTGGATTTCAGATGACGTGATGCAGAACGCCACGAGGAACTTGGATCCATTTTACATAAAATGTTCCAAGCCCTGCAAGTAAAGTACCTGAAGTCAGTCCTACTTGATAGGACAATAAGAAATTCACAGTTTCTTTCAACAGCTATAGGATTACAAAAGCAAAATCACTTTTCTACTCAAAGAAATGTAATTGGCAATGGTTCTAGGCTGGGCAGAGACCTCATGCCACAGCTCAGAGATGGGAGCGGTAAAGGATCCCATATGCTTAAGCAGGATTTTAGGAAGGCCTAAATTGACAGCTGAAAATAGTTATCAAACAGACTTTTAGAAAGAATTCCTAAAATTCCACGCAATTGACAGAGAAATAAAAACGTATTTGATAAATATGCTAATTAGATTTGCATTAACAAACTAGGAGATGCCTATCGCAAGAATGTGGAAACATCACCTTGGAAATGACAGCACTTCCGAGCCATTGAATGAGCCATTTGGAGATACCTTCCAAGGCTCTCCTGAGGGGCAGGCTGGGTCTCAATCACTTCCCAACACAGAAACAAAAGTCCAAGGCACGCTAGTGGGTGTTGAAATATACATTTCGGGTTGTTTCCTTTCTAAAAATATCAGCATTAATATAAGCACATTTCCATCTCTTCAGATGTGACTCTGATCCTCGCAAAGATGCGGACAAGGCCTGGGACTGACACCATTTCACAAATGAGGAACCTGAGGCCTACACATGAGACCAGGCGACAGATGTAGATCTAAGGACAGTTACCTTCTGATTTCAAATCCTGTGCTCTTTTCATTACGCCCTGCTAATGAAATTTGTTTGAAGGGGTTCTGAGGACAAAGAGAGGCACTTCCAAGGAGCTGCATGAGCACACCAACACAGGGTGCGTGGGTCACATTGTAACACCAACGGTTTAGGGTTCAAGGACAACAGGAACAATCCTTCTGCTAACAAGCCGTTCATTTTCCTCTCGAGGCCGACAATTCCATCCCTTCACCCATGGTTGTACTCGGTGTTTATCAACAGTATCACAGGATATGAATGCACACACTATACAGAACAACTACACAAAAACAAAAATTCAATGATTGGTCTCTAAATGCAACTTACAGGTGATACCTTTCTTTTTGTTGTTGTTGTTGTTGTACCAGGCTCTGAACTCAGGATCTTGTGCTTGCCAGGCAGGCACCCATGCCACTGAGCTATCTCCTTGGCCCTTACAGGAGATTTCTTGAATCACTGCCTACTAGCTCAAGCTTTTAAACTTTTTGAAGACCTAGTATAAATTCACAGGATAAAAATCCATTTTATCATGTGATTTGATCTATTTTTAAAACAGAGTCTATTTTATGTCCACACTGGGCCACAAGCCCCATCTTTTAGTCACTGTAGTGAAAACTCAATACACATTTGTGGAAAAGATAAAGGATACATTCGCATTACCAGGTACTAGAAAAGTTTTCATATCAGAAAGGCCTGGCCATTAACTTCTTAGTCAAGCGGCCTGCTTCCTTTTACACCAATCTGCTTCTGCCCTTGCTACCTCCCTGGGAGAGGTGCCCCTCTCAGGTAGCTTGGGAGGCAATCCAACGCTATCAGCGCGCTTCATAAACACTTAAGCTTCAGAACAGAAACCAGACTTGCCCTGTGGCCCAAACATTTAGTGATTGCAATCTTAACTAATGTTAAAAGCTGGAAAGGCCTGAAGGGAGTTGCCATAAAGTAAGAAAAACCCTAAACTTGGATAGTGAGTAAAGCTGTGTTATTTACTGACTATATTCTTTTTTTATTTTTTTGGCAGAACTGTGGTTTGAACTCAGTCAGGCCCTTGCACTTGCCAGGGAAGCTTTTATTCCACTGGGCCATCTCCCAGGCCCCTATTGACTATATTCTTGGGTAAACCACAGCCTTCTAGGCAACTGCAGCTGACCCCTTCTGATAACGTAGCACATGCCAGGTACCGCGTGAAATGCTTGGTAATGCATTATCCCAAGCAGCATCTCCAATCCTGGCATAAAGACACTCAGGCTCAGAAGTAACTTTTTTTTTTTTTTCTTAAACCTACCAACTGCTTTATATTCCCTCTGACCTCAGGGCCTGAGCTCCTGGTCACTACCCCGTGTAATAAATCAGCCTTGATTTCCAACTGTGAACGGGAAATTGTGACCACCTCCCTGCAGGGATTAAGAAGAAAGGCCGTTCGCTGGCTGCCTGCCTTCCGTGTAAAAAAACGAGTGGCTTTTGCAAGAACTTTTGGAAAAAGAAGTCCCCAGAGAAAATGCTAGGGTGGGTGCCAAGTGCGATTTTCTGGCCAGGAGGCCCTTGCAGTCTCTCTCAGGTCTGTCTGTTCGGGCGGTGTTCGCCTTTGGGGTTTCCAGAGAAAAGAGGCTTGGAAATTTCCCCCGATGCTAGGGGCCGACTGAGACAGAAGCTGTTTTCTATATTTTTGAGGATTTTCAAGAAAGCAGAGACGCAGCTGTACCCCTTGCGGCCCGCCCGCCGGCGGGGCGGAAGTGACCGCCTCCTTCCCACCTCAGCCTGGCGCCGCTCAGCCCGCCCCACCGCCAGGAGTGGGTCCGGCAGAGCCGACGGGGAGCCGGGCCGGCGGGGCCGCTCTCCCCCACCCGCGGAACCCTGACCGCAAGTCCCCCTCATCGGTCCTCACGGAGGTGGCCGAGCCCCGGCGCCGCTCCTCGCCCAGGTCCAGCACAGGGTCCATCTCCGCGGCCGCTTGACGTCACTTCCTGGAAACCGAGCGCCTCATCCGCGTCCTTGACGACGACTTTGCCCTTCTGGCTACATATTTAAAGGATCCGCCTCATTATTTCTACAGTATGTGCGCCACCCTCTAATTTAAACCAAATTGTTCTTACGCGTGCTTTACTTGACTTCTAGAGGAAGCCTCCAAATATGAGCGCCCGCTGAGACTGTCCTGTGGGACCATAAAAAATGTTCTTTGGAACTGCCTGCATTTGCGGATCTGCCTGACTACATTTGTGACTATAAAGCGTTAGTGTTAATAACCGTAATTATACTGATCTCCCCCATTTGTATAGATCTTTGCAATGTTCAGAGGTCCTTTCCAGTTACTAGCTCAAGAGGGGCATAACAACCTTTATAGGAAGCAAGATAAATTATATTGTTTCCATTTGACAGATGAGACCAGGTGTAATAAATTGTTTATAATAAATTACAAAAAATGCTATATATATATATATATATATATATATATATATATATTCTGTTTTTAAGAAGTTTATTGAAGGGCTAAACCAAAACATCAAATACTTGAGTAATAGTGACTTTTGTAAGTGTAAATATTCAACATCATATTAATCTCAACAGCCCCACACAGTAAGTAGCAAAAATAATAACTCTATTTAAAAATGAACACAGTGAGGTGCAAAGAGTAGCTTGAGGAAAATCATCTGGGTGTAAGTGGCAGAGCCAGGGCTCCATGTGGATTTTACTGTGGAGTTTGCTCTGGCACCGATTGCTGGTGTTAGCCATTCTCCTAGGCCGGCAGAGGGAGATGTCCCACAAACTCCCAGCTTAATAGGGCAGCCAACTCAGTTTTCATGGCCTCATTGCATATAAGATTCCCGAGTTATAACTGGCTAGGTTCCTGGCACTGGGTCACTGGGACTCACAGAAGATGGGCTAATGGCCCTGAAAGTAAACCGTATCCCCACTTTGTTGCAGATAGGGTGTGGATGGTCATGGGTTAAACATGAGGACTTGGAAGTGAAAGTAAGTGTCCCCAAAATTGGATGGTAGGGGTTCAGGGAGATAGCTCAGTAGAATAAGCACTTGCCTGGCAAGCGCAAGGGCCTGAGTTCAATCCTGGGTTCCGCCAAAAATAAATAAGTAAACAAACTGAATGGTAAGCATATCCTAAATACCCAATAACCACACAGTTCACTGATCATCCTTCATGTTCCCTGGGTAGGATTGGATGTTAGCCTACCTTGTGACAGGTAAGTACATTGGCCTGGGTGTTAGAAGAGTTTACCTTAGCTCCACTAGTAACTGTATTGCCAAGGCAGAGTGCTTCTTCTGCCTCAGTTTCCTCTCTTGCACTAAAAGTACTATCTTAGAGATAGCCTAACTGCTCAGTGTGAATATTCTATTAACATTTTAATCTGAAGAAACAGTCATTGCCCAAAATCTTTAAGACAGCTGAGACACAGGCTCTAGTGAGTCCCTTTCCCCTTGGTACTGGATGAGGAAGGAGGGTTTGATCTCTGGATTTTCTCATTTCGTGTAAGTTCACAGCTATACACCACTACCACTTTACAGTCATTTTCCAGAATCTCTTGCTAGAACAGTGTTTGACACTTAGTAAACATCAACAATATTTCTCAAATTCTAGGGGCTCTACAGCATGGTGCTTAAGTGCACAGACCTGGCAATAGACTTCCTGGGCCCAAATCCTAGTACTGACACCTAACAGCTTTGGGGCTTTGGGCAAGTTACTTTCAAGGTTTCTACACGTAGGTGTTTCCTCTGTGGTTATGCAAATTTAAAAAATAATGCCTATCCAAACCAGACAGACTGTATTAATGTCACTTGCAAGCAATATAATCTTTAAAAAAATAAAATAAAATTAAAAAAACCCCAAAACCTCTCTGTGCCTCAGTTTCCTCAACAGTTAACACCACTCTCCCTGGAACGCATTAACATTCCTTCATAGTGACTTAGGAGCCAAGCCTCTCAAGCAGGGTCCAGGAAGGCTGGAAGGCCCGGATGAGGGGCAGTGGCATAGCGGGCCTGTCCTAGTTCTTAGAAAGTGACCAGCTCAGACCCAAGTCCTGGGAGGAGAGGGGTCGTACCGGCGTCTTGCTTTCCCTAAGTTGCGCGTGGGAAAAGACCTCGAAGCCCAGGCTGAGAGGGGCCACGCGAGCCGAGCGCAAACTTCCCCTCCGCCGTCTGGGAAATGGGCTCCGGCCAACTGCTGACTTCGCGCTCGCTGGCGCGGCTCCCGGCGGAGCCCTCGGCGGGGAGGGAGGCGGCCCACATCTGGCGGACAGCGCCGCGCGGGGGCCCGGCCCGGGAGAGGTGCGCGGCTCTGACGCACCGGGCCGGGACGCGGGCGACTTCCCAGGGCGCCGGGTTTGTTTTCCTCGCCCGCTCCGCTCCCGCCTCCCGGCTCCCGACCGCCGAGCCGCCTTCACTGGCCGCCAGCCCTCGCCAGAGGGCACCCTCGATCTTCCGGAAAACGCCACCATTTTCCCAGCGCCTGGAGCGGCTCCCAGCTCCAGCCGCCGCCGACTGCAGGCTTGTCAATGAAGAGCCGCGGCCAGCATCGCCGCGGCGCCGAGTCCCACCCTCCAGCCCCGCTCGCGGGCCGGGCGTTGCCCGGACCGGGGATGGATGGCACAGCAGCCCTTGCGGACCCTGTCGGGTGCCCTGGCGTGAGCCGGGGGGTGACCAGTCCCAGGGGCCGGGAAGGACAGAAGCGCGGCCGGACCTCGCGCACTGACAGCTGGCTGGAGCGCGGAGGGGCGGCGGGCTGGCGGGCGGCGGGCGGGCGGGAGCGCGGGAGGGGGCTCGGAGTAACTTTCCAGAAAAACAGCCAACGTGTAGCCGGAGTGACTCCAAGAGGGAGAAAAAAGTTCAGTTACCACGTCGAATGAGAGAGCTCGCAAAGTATTTTTCAAACGGGCTCGGCTTTTCCTGTGCCTGTTTAAAACATTAAAAATCGTGCTGCAAAAGAGGCTGCGTGTGCTGGTCCCTCCCCCTCCCTCCCCCACCCCAGGCCCGAGACGTCATGGGAGGGAGGTATAAAATTTCAGCAGGGAAATAGAGAAAGCTGTGTGTGTGCATGTGTGTGTGTGTTAGAGAGAGCGAGAACAGCGAGGAGGCAAGAGAGAAAGGGAGGGAAGCAGAGAGCCAAGTTCAAGGGAAGGAGAGAGAGCGAGAGAGGCGAGAGCTAGAAGACACGCATGGGAACCACGGAATAACTGCTTTCCGGAGAGGCTGCAGTGAACCGGCTTCTATTTTCTTTTCCTTTGGTTTTCTTTTTCTTTTCTTTTCTTTCTTTCTTTTTCTTTTTCTTTTTTTTTAAGAAGCAAGGGACAGAAGCCATGGCCGAGGGAGAAGACAAGCAGAGGCGCTGGTGACCGTGGGCGTTCAAGTGGATTATTGGGGCCCTTCTCCAGAGGCCTGGCCTGCCTGCTTTCCCGTTTCATATAACCCCTCAGCGCAGCCAATGAAGACGAGAGGCAGCGTGAACAAAGTCAATTAGAAACCCCCGAGGAAGTGTAAACAAAAGGGAAAGCATGAATGGAGTGCCCGAGAGACAAGTGTGTCCTGTACTGCCCCCACCTTTAGCCGGGCCAGCAGCTGCCCAGACCTGCCTCTCCCCACCTACTCACTGGTGATTCGATTTTTTTTACAAACATTTTTTTTCCCTTTTCTTTTCCATTCTCTTTTTTTATTCTCCTTCAGGACAGGGTGGGGATTTTGATTTTGGGACCCAGCCATGGTCCTCCTGCACCTTCTTTAAAATACCCACTTTCTCTCCATCGCCAAAAAGTGTTTGGCAATATCAGATATCTGCTCTATTTATTTTTACCTAAGGAAAAACTCCAGCTCCCTTCTCACTCCCGGCTGCCTGGCCACCCCTCCCAGCCCTCTGCTTGCCCTCCACCTGGGCTGCTGGGAGTCAGAGCCCAGCAAAACCTGTTTCGACACATGGACAAGAATCCCAGCGCTACAAGGCACACTGTCTGCCTCTTGGTCCTCAGGGCTGCCAGCGCTTCCTGGAAGTCCTGAAGCTCTCGCAGTGCAGTGAGTTCATGCACCCTGTTGCCAAGCCTCAGTCTTTGGGATCTGGGGAGGCTGCCTGGTTTTTCTCCCTCTTTCTGCACGTCTGCTGGGGTCTCCTCCTTGCCAGGCCTCACCGCCCCCCTGGCCTCTCTCCCCAGCTTGCACATGAAGATGCACTTGCAAAGGGCTCTGGTGGTCCTGGCCCTACTGAACTTTGCCACGGTCAGTCTCTCTCTGTCCACTTGCACCACCTTGGACTTTGGCCACATCAAGAAGAAGAGGGTGGAAGCCATTAGGGGACAGATCTTGAGCAAGCTCAGGCTCACCAGCCCCCCTGAGCCATCAGTGATGACCCACGTCCCCTATCAAGTCTTGGCCCTGTATAACAGCACCCGGGAACTGCTGGAAGAGATGCAGGGGGAGAAGGAGGAGGGCTGCACTCAGGAAAACACGGAATCAGAATACTATGCCAAAGAGATCCATAAGTTCGACATGATCCAGGGGCTGGCGGAACACAGTAAGTCCAAATGCCCATGGGGTGTCTACTTTGGAGGGGTGGACCAGACTAGGGAGCCTGGCAGTGGCCACGCAGCGGTGTGCCCAGGGGCTCACCAGCACCTGGCTCCTGAGGTAGGGTGGAAAGGCAGGGCTGGGTAGGTGGGTGGGAAGGAGACTGAGCCTCCCTGGGCGCTTCTGGAGCCAAGCACATCCTTGACTGATTTTAGTTTGGATTACGTTGTGCTGCCCCTGGTAACATATGTGTTCTCACACATGCCACCGTGGGAGTGACTGTGAGCATATGGGTGCCATCAAGGGACAAGTCAGCTCTCTCTCAGCAGCCCTTACAACTTCATGAGTTGGGACACTGTGGTCTTTCCTCCACTTTTCACTGGTCATGGTGACATGTTCCCTGTTTCGACTTTTCCAGCCCTTGAGAAGCCTAGTACCTGCCCCAGTTAA